GAAAAATGGATCATACAGTTAAATCAAGATGCTAACCCTGGAAATGAGTCCGTCTTGCAACGTTTTATTTTGTTGGCAATTACCTGCAAAATCAGCAAAGTCTAATTTAGGAAAAGGCACAACAAAAGATGATACTAACAGCATATGAACATAATAATAGTAGAAAGAAGTCTTTGAAGGCAGATATTTCCCTGAAAACTACAACAAACTAGGTTGTGAATAATTTACGAAACACATGATGGGAAATGGTTCGAAGTTGAGTCCCCAGTGTTCTCTCTTGAAAACAAAAGTACAATAAAGGAGAAGATATCCGAAACATAATAAATAAACTTACAACTTAGGTGAGAAATAATCTGGTAAATATTATACTCACATCCTTAGAATCAAGCAAATTAATTCGAGATTGATCAGATGGTGCTGATTTAGACATCTGCATGCAAAATTGAAGTCATGGTATTGGTAAAAAACAAGATGAGCAATGTCCAACTTCAAGAAATGTTAATTCAAAAATCTTCCTAAGTAAATCTTATGACGAACAGATACAAAAGAATTCATGGGTGAGCAAAACCAAACCGAAACCGAAAACCCAAACCGAACCGTGCAATTCGGTGCAGTTCGGTTCGGTTTTTTTAATGTAAAAATTTTCAGTTCGGTTTCGGTTCGGTTTTTTCCTACATTGCTGTGCAGTTATAGTTTTTCACAAGTTCTTTTCGGTTTTGTCCGGTACGGTTTTGCACAGAACCCCACCAAATTGAATAAAATGAATAGAAAAACTGAAATAAAACCGAAACCGAGCCGAACCGTGCAATTTGGTGCAGTTCGGTTCGGTTATTTTAGTGTAAAAAAATTATGGTTCGGTTTTTTCTAAGTTGCGTTGCAGTTCGGTTTTTTTTTTTTTTTTTTTTTTTTGTTAGGTTAGATTTTAGGTTTTTTGCAGTTCGGTGCGGTTTTTCACCGAACTGCACCGTTGCTCAGAAGATATTGAATTAGAAGAGAGGAACAACTTTCAAATTTCTGATAACCTTAGAGAAACCATCAGTTAGAGACATCACACGAGCACCAGTGGGTGGAATAAGGGGCTCGGGAACCTACATTAATCATATCAGTGAAACAAAAGTTAATCCACTCTCCAACTTTCCGGGTACCTTAGAGTCACTTCAGGAATTGATAACAGGAACACACCTTAAAGATAGCACCGCCTCGCCTTTGGCAGAAAACAGTTGATTGAACAAAATATTTAGATTTTTCTGATGCCCCAATAGAAAAAATAACAGGAAAGAACTTGGCACAGAAGGTTTAACTAGTTTATAGAATAAAAAAGGTCCACTGCTCATAAACTTTGAACTATAATGTCCTTACCCTCCCAGCTTCTTCCACTTCCTTCCTCCATATAGATGGTTAACACGCTCAGCTAGTTCTCGTGTCAGCTCGAGGTGTTGCTTCTGATCCTCGCCAACAGGGACAAAATCAGACTGCAAGGGAAATGTTATCGAGACCAATAAAATGTTTAGGCAATACAGACAAGTATATGTGGCAAAAGAAGATTTACTCTCACTATTATAGAGTGTACAAATACAATGGATCCTTTATTAAGTTCTCTACAAAAATAGCATACGACATAAAAGTTCTTATAAAAGAAATTTTTAAAATAAGACATAAAAAGGGCAGACAGAAATAAATTACTTGATATAAGAGGATATCAGAAGCCATCAGCACAGGATAAGTTAAAAGACCAACCCCAACATTCTCATCCCCCTGCAGAAAAATAGTAAACTTGTAACAATGATAAAAACACTAATTTACTATGGAGAATAGAATGATCTCGATATAAGTGATTTCACAAATTTATAATTAAGAAATCGAATTCCACCACTTTAGGTCTTTGATATGATGCCTAACATTTGATATTCCATATGTTGCACATACAGACGAAAGTCAACTGATTGCCCAGATATAAGTGGCATACCAGCATATACTGATTGTATATCAGTGGCCAAAAACAATCTAAAAAGATGCAGGTCATAGAATAACTAAGATCAACCTGTAATAACAACCTAGCATTAAGCATTGGATCTCATACAAACCATCTCTTCTTACAGAACTAACTCATACTAATAACAACCAGTAGAACAATAGTTGATTTCGTGGACAGAAAAAAGAGTGTTACCATCAAGAATAAGACTATGTTAGGAGACAGGTTTATGCTTATGGTGAAGAGCGAAGTTCCAAAAAGGTTCTTGCAACAACAACAATAATGGATCAGTTTTAGTTACCACAAATTCAACCAGGAGCCATGATGATGCAATTACCTCAATATGATTGTATAAATTAAAAGAAAAAAAAAACATGTATCAACATCAGAGTAAGGTAAACATGAAAAACATTACACAGCATAGTACTTACGGCCTTCCGTGATTTCTCTTTAAATTGTATCATCCTGTTGAGCCAACCTATTGGGGTAGCAGAACTCAGAAGCCACATCAACTCTACATGAGCACGGACATGAGATTGCACAAAAACTGAGGCCTGCATATGTTGGATAAACAGACCCATATAGAAATATTACAGCGAATAACAAGCCACAAAAAAGAAAATAAAAGATAAGAAAAACAAAGAAAAAAAAACCTAAGAATAAAATTGAAAAGTAGACCTTGGTAGTATCCACACCACATGCCAAATAAAGAGCTGCAGTATCTTTTGTCGCTTTAGATAATTGTTGTGTATCATATGGCAATGTTATCTGCAAGGAACATACGAGCATGATGTGGTTTAGGGATAACACGTGTCTAACATTGTTTATTTTCAATTTGATTCTAAATCCACTACATGCATCCTTCATTGAACTATCATAACTTTGCAAACATGAGGAATTAAAACAAAGATAATTTTATAATTGGCGATGTCCTGAAAAACACAGAAACTATGAATGCTCCAAGATTGAGTATGTTGCAGTTTTAAGGTGGAGAAGCTGGCCAAACCTATCTTGCAAATTTATCAAACTCTAAAAGCATGATATCCAAAACATTTCGATACTTGAGAATTATGAGGTGATATGTCTACAAAGTAGAAAAATAATGAAACAACAAGAGAACAAGTATTAAGTTAGAACATACCGCATGGAGGTCCACAATAAAAAAGAGTGTCTCATATGTATTCTGCAAGGAGAAAATATGAGGTGAAACAACAGCTGACAGGTTATATTTTAGCTGGACAAAATTGAAAACAAATTTTGCTTTATGAGTGAGACGTGGCAGAATTTCTACTAACATTTCACAACAAGAAGTGTCAGTTGTATAGCTGAAAACAGATGTAAACACTATATGTGTGAGATCTAGGAAGGTGGTAGGCTCTCCATGTATTATGTATGTATACTATAATCCCAAGTGAGCAAACTGATACTCACCATACTTATGTAATAATTTGGTGATGTCTGTCACTTTAGTAGGATTATAACATGTTCACTTTTTTTTTAAAAAGACCAACAGTAACAATATACCACTGAGAAATCTGTTTATCATGCGCAGACTAGAACAAGAAGTAGTGGCCAGAAAGATTCTTCAGCCTGCTCATTCTCACCCACGACTATATACGATTATACTATATAGCAAGACAAAATATTCTCCATCAAATAGAGCACCTCAAATGCAGCAGTGGAGCTCACAGGTGAACCCATTCAAAACTACAACCGCTTCCTGCTCAATAATGCATGCAACATTTGGAAACATACCTGTAAGTCAACCCAATGTTTTATGGCACCAAGATAATTGCCGAGATGTATGGACCCTGTGGGCTGGACACCGGAAACTAGTCTCTTCCTATAAAGGATAAATCAGTATTTGGTCAAGGTGTATCAAGTAATTTTACAGCAAATTAGGGATGCAATAATTAGATTCCATTAAAGCCACACTCGAGCACCTTTGGGGAGAAAAAAAAAAGGTCCTGGGAGATGAAAAGCTGGTTTGCCATGTAGCAAACTGTAAGTTCATAATACTTACCTATGTCCACAAATTAAAACAAGAAGATGAAGGATGTATAATTGCCAAGAGGAGAGTAACCCATTTAGTTTGGAGGAGGTAACTTCTGTGATAACAAATACTTCATAGAAATCACGTCTGAGCATTAGGAGATGCTATTACACAACAGAAAAGAGCTGATATAATATCTACTCGCATTGGTACACTACATTCCTTGGTAAATTACGTGCCAGGATACTAATGGTTTCTTACGAGAACATTCAGAATGTTGCAAGTGGTGGAGTTCATTTTGTTCTCCGATTTGATGCTTCAGAACCTTTAAATTAGAAAGATCAAAATCGGAATGCTATGACATCTACAACGTCGTCCACCAAAACTCACAGCAGATTCCTTAACGAAATTTAGCTACCTTACTGGAAAAATATCACGCACAGTGACACAGTTCTAGCAATATTTACTACTTTCAAGAATCCAGAAAATTAAAATTCCATTTTCAAGGCTGCAAATACTTCAAACCAGCACTAAATAACCAGAAACTGATACACCTAAAATGCATTCACAGGACCAAACAAATACAAATAAAACTAACGAAGGGAAAATTCGTCAAATTACTTTACAGAGCTCGGAGAGGTCTCAGAGGTTGAAGGCTCGGCAACCGAGACGCTGCAAAGGCACCGGAAACCTTCAGCCGCTACCAGACGGCGGCGATGGTGCGTGACACCCGTCCTGCTCAAGCATTTGCTCAGATGAACGCCGCATGGCCTGCTTCCATTATCAAACAAACAGATGAAACGATTCAATAAATAAATATACAGACAATTTGAACCACAAAAATAGAAGGTTTGAGAAAGGAAACATCACGATGTGGAGATGGAGCGATGAGAAGCGCCAGAGAGCATGAATAAGTGAGAGAAAATGGAGAGCGCCATTACTGTTGCTGGGCTAGCTATGAGCTATTTGTGCTGCTTTTATTCGGGCCTTTGAGATCAACTGGTTATATGATAACGGGTCTTAAACCCGACATGCTGACCCGGAATCGTCCGGTTAAATGATGGGCCGGACATATGGGCTTTCGTAGTGGGCTGATTCAAGTTTATATATTAAACTTGGTTGGGCTCAAATGATTGGTAAATTTGGCAACAAAACAAATATCTTTATTAATATTAGTATATATAATTTTTTAATTACTAGCTTAATAATATAAATATTGTTATAGTATAAAGATTGATAAATAGCTTTGTCGTTTTTATCTTTTGGAACTTCTAACAAATGATCTTACAAAGTTAGATAGGAACCTAAACAAGTAACATGCTAGTAATTTATGGAGGTCTGTCTTGGAAAGAAACCTAGGGGTTCGTAGCAAGCAAACATTCAGGAGGATCCTGGATAAAGTTGAAGGACGTTTGATGGGATGGAAAGCAACTTCTTTATCAATGGCAAGAAGGGTGACGCTAGTTCAATCGGTGGTAAGTTGTTTGCCTTTCTATACTGTGCAAACGATCTTTCTTTCTTTGATTGTTTGCAAGGAACTGGAAAGAAGTGTAGAAGATTTGTTTGGGGAGGAACAAAGTCGAATAGAAAGGTGAGTCTAGTGGATTGAGGGTCTGTATGTAAGCCGAAACATGGCAGGGGATTGGGGTTGAAGAATCAAAGATTGATGAATGAAGCATTTTTAATGAAGTTGGAATGGAAGTTTTTTAGAAACAAGGATGCTCTGTAGGTTATGATTCTAAAGGCGAAGTATAATCTAAACTCTTTTGAGATGTACGAAAATTCCACATGTCCAAGAGGATCTGTAATCCTCCAGGCAATAAGCAAGGTGTGGCGGAATGTGTCATGTGGAGTGAGGTGGTCTTTGGGGGATGGCCGTAGGGTGCTGTTTTGGTGGGATCGATGGCTAAATTGCTCGGAGACGTTAATTAGCCTTGCTATTGCTCCAGTACCAGAGGCATTGTTGTATGCTACTGTAGATGTTTTTGCCGATTCGCTGAGCAAGTGGAAATGATAATTATTTACTCATCTTCTACCAACCAAAGCTCGAATGCGTGTGGTTGTCATCTTACCACCGTAGTTGGACGCTGGAGAGGACAAGATGTATTAGGGTTCTTCACATGATGACAAATTAACTACAAAATCAGCCTATGAGAGTTTGCTCCAACCAGGGGGTTTAAGTTATAAAACGGTTATGGAAAATAATTTGGACTTGGAGTGGACCACAAAGAGTTCGAATTTTTTTGTGGCTGGTCAGTAAGAGGAGGTTGTTCCGAATGCTGAACGTTGCCGACGACATTGGTCAGACGATAATAGGTGTGATTTATGTGTAGCCGAAGAACAGACGTTGTTTCATACGTTAAGGGACTGCCAAACCGCTGTTCAGTATATTAGTTATGAGGGACAAGTGGGGCGGAATTTTGTACGTTGGAGTTGGAGGAATGGTTGATCGCTCATTTGAAAAACCCTTACAAACTCGATGTTACCGATTGGGAAATGACATTCGGATTGGCTTTATGGCGACTTTGGAATGCAATAAATCGAAGAATTTTTAAGGGATGACCTTTTTGTGCTGCCGGAATATTAAGAGAGATTGAGACATGGAGATGTAATGTATCCGTAGTGGTAATNGGTCGAGAAATGGTGTATGTGCGTTGTACTCCTCCGCCCAAGAGATGAATCAAAAGGAATTCGAATGGCTCTTTTAATCCGTCATTTGGTATGGCTAGTGCGAGAGGTGTGTTACGCGATTTTTGTGGCTGGCGAATTAAGGGATTTATCATGAACGTTGGTTTTTGCTCCATAACTGAAGCGGAACTATAGGGACTCTTCCAAGGTCTACAACTAGCATGGAATTCGGGTTATCGACATGTAATTGCGAAGGTGAATAGCCTCTATGTTTTTTCGATGATACAAGGTGGAAATGTTGAGTCTGAGATCCATAGCGCATTGATGAGGACCATAAGAGACTTGTTGAAGAGGCCATGATTGGTGAAGATGTCTCATGGATATCACTAGTCCAATTTTTTTGTTGATTGCATAGCAAGAATTACTGCAAGAAGTCCAAGAGATTTTCAACCCTTGGATGTGCTGCCGGTTGAGGCCCTACAATGATTAAATCATGATGTTATCGAGGTTTTATACCAATGAAATGTTATANGATATAAAAATTTCTATATAAATATGGCAACACGAATTATATGGCACCAAACTGAACAAATTTATAAATCATCTGTTGAATACAGGATACTATGCCAGTTGGTGGAAAGTAAAATAAAAAACACATTACAATATTTCATAAATAAAAAAAATTTAAACTTAATATAATTTATAAATCATGTAAACTCCATAATAATAATAATAATAAAAAGAAAATGAAATTTGATGGAAAGTAAAATAAAAAACACATTACAATATTTCATAAATAATTTTTTTTATTTTAAACAATATAATTTATAAATCATGTAAACTCCATAATAATAATAAAAAAAAAACGAAATTTGTTATATGCGTGTCAATTGTCAAGTATATCCGTTCACGTTTACTATTTTCAGCCGGCAGATAATGGAAAAAACGCGATTAATAAATTATTTACAAAAAAAAAAAAGAAAAAAAAGGTGAGCAAAATATCACTTGTGACAGCGGCAAGAGCACACTCATTTCCCGCAATTTCACTTTTGGTACTGCGCACAAATTTGCAAGAAAATTCGCCTAAAAAAGATTCGATATCAGTTGAGGATAATCGAAAATGGACGACGACGGGATTCCGGAGAGAGAAAGGCTGCAGATCGAGCAGATTATGGAGCTCGAAGACGAGGAATTAGAGGTCGAAGAGGTGGACGACGAGGAATCTTCGGATGATGAGTATGTGTTCAATTGATTTTGATTCTGGGTTTGCTTGTTTGTGTTTGGATTTTGCTGTTTTAACTTTTGTTTTTCGGGATTTGTTTTCTGTCGGATTCCCCCAGCTTTGAAGAGCTTCGGGGTATTGAGTAGTACTGTTGAATTGAGCAATGGGATATGTATGTTTGGGGAAGAAAAGAAGCTTAAATTTTGGTTTTAGGGTTTCTGGAAGCTGAAAAACTTTGTTAGGTTTGTTTGAATTTTTTCAGTTTTGTGCTCTGTCTATATGTTTGGTTTGTAAAAATGTTTAGGTTTGTTTTTTGTGTATGTATGCACGCAATTAAGTGGGTAACCTGAAAATGGCCGTGGTTGGTTAAGAATCCCGGTTGCTTGTTATTCNAATGAATGTTTCAGTGGAGAATATGTTGCTTGTTTATGCATGTGTTTGTAACATTGATATCTATACTTTATTGCGAAAACAAGCAACTTGAAATTAGAACACAACATAGGCACACTTTATATGCTTTGTCGTTGCATTTGGAGTTGGAAAATCGATGGGATTTTTCTCAATTTTTTCGTGGGGTAGCTATTTCACATTGCTTGTCATGTTCAACTTCAGGAATTGTTACCAACAAATTTTCAATCAACCAGTTTTCATCTAAGGTACACCTTATTATAATATTGACTTGTCATGCAAATGAAGAAAATGTTCGTTATGGCTGTTTGTTGAACAATAATGAAGAATTGGAGCTGCCGTGTGGATTCTGATCTCAAAGTGTCATGACACATCTCCTGTTATTTAATTAACTGAATTTTGATTATTTTTTTGTTGGCTACTGTAGTAATCGAGGTTCAGCAGGAGCTTCTGTATCTGGTGATGTATATGACACTTCCTTGGTTGCCTTGCATTCATATCTTGGCGGTCGGTAGCTGTTTGCAGAATTTTATTTTCCTTTGTGTTATTATTCTTGAAAATTTTATTTGTGAGAAATATGAGATTTTTTAAATACTCATCTGTCACATCAGATGTTGAAGATACTCAGAATAGGATAGCATTTCTGGACGGTGGTGTTGTCCTGACGCTTCCTCTGTTTTGTCTGGAAGGTATTTGGCCAACGTCAACACAAGTGTCATCGCAAATATTATGTTATTTCATTAATTGGCTTTCCTGCATGTTTGAAACGATGGAGCAATCATGATTTGGAACTTCCATTGGTCTTAGTTTCAAGTTGATTTTCATTATTCATATTCTCCCTGGGATGACACAGTACCTAACAGCTTTAACTTGCAAGTCTTCTTTTGTCATTTGCACGTTTTTCCGTAGCAAAAATGATAAATTCCCTTTTTGTACTATTTGAGAAGTTTAGTGCTCTTTCAACCCAAAACTTGTGTACACATTCTGATTATCTTGAGTAAAGGCTGTTAAATTGATCTAATTTTGGATGTCAAGAGAAGTAATGCATGAAGCAAATGGCCACTGCCCTTCAGATAAATAGTCATTACTTTGTTAACCAAGAATTATATTATAAGTTGTTTCACTAATTCTCTATACACTTTTTTTAGGTAAAAAAAAAAATAAAAATAGTGCAAGCTTAGTGAGTTTCTTGTCAATGCATGCTCCACCTGATAATATGCAAATCTACAAACACAACTAGTATGTGTACTGGGCTTCTAAAATTTATATTGCACCTTGTTTTCTTCAGGGGTTGTGTTATTCCCCGACGCAACACTTCCTCTTAGAGTGGTTTTTCCTCATTTCATAGCTGGCGTTGAGAGAGCTATGACACAAGTTGATGCTCCTTACACAATTGGTGTGGTATGCGCAGTTTTAGTTATTGCTAAAATTCTTTCATCTACATTACATGTGAATTTATAGAGTTCCTGTACTTGTATTGGCCGTGCTTTTCAGGTTCGTGTTTACAGGGATTCCAACAGTGGCAGAATAAGGTTTTCAACAACTGGCACTACTGCTGAGGTACAAGAAGACTTTTAAGTGCTTCTTTGTTAACTTTTTTTTTTTTTTTTTTGTTTAATCTCGCACATTCTGATGTCATTGACGTCGTGCACTTTCTTATAAGTTTATAAGCAGAGGATTTACTTTTCTGACCTTAGGTTACACATCATCTTGAGTTACCTTTCGAAAAATGCAGCTTTTGCACCAGAAGTGAAGCAGCAGTTTGGGAGTTTAGTAGCAATCATTAATTACATTGTTGTCATTACACTCTTAAGATAACTCAGATATGTAGCTTTACATGTGTCGTTGTTATTAATTTTATTGTTATTGTTGTAAGTTCAAAAGCTCTAGACCATCGGTTTCCTAATTCTTCTGAGGTCCGCTCTTTTAAACTGTGCATGTTCAGCTGTTTCAGCTTCTCTATTTAGTAAGTTGAGTTGCAGTGGCACACATTGACAAATTATATATCTTACCTCACATACAAGCAGAAGTTGAGGTATACTTTCATTGTATTTTCTCAGAAAAAAAGAAAAAAAAAATGTTTCTCTATTTATGCAGATTCGGCGATACAGGAAGCAGCAAGATGGCACCGTAAATATTGTTACCAGGGGAAAGCAGCGTTTTCGGCTAAGGCGCCGTTGGGTTGATGTGGAAGGATCAGTAAGCACTATACCGAATCAGATATTCAAATCACGCTTTGCTTCATTTTTGTACTCTTAACTCTGTATTTGCCGTCTTACATAATAGCTATGTGGGGAGGTTCACATCATTCAAGAAGATGTACCGTTAAGAACACCACGAGAAGCTGTTGGTAAACTGGCTCCATTAAGAAACACCAAAGCAAGATGTCACCTGCAAGTGATGACACCTTCTAATGGTTCTCAGCATGGCCGTCTGGGCTACGAGGAAGGAAATGATTCTGACGGGAGTTTTGAAAGTGAACTTTCATCAGCAGAAAGAGGGCTTCACCGCTATGCTCTTGTCTCTTCTCATGGTCTGGGTGCATACGATGGGGCAATGAGTAGTGACGATGAGAATAATGATTGTCACTTTCAGTTGCGACTTGAAGGATCTTCATTGGCCAGCTATACAAGGTCAATTAAGTTTGAGCACGAAATACAGTATGCCAATGAGAGTCATAGAAGTGGGAAGAGCCCCTTTTATGTGCAGCCTAGCCACAGGTTAGGAAGGGGAAAGTGCTCCGTGGCTCACCTTCGTGATGCTCCTAGAGCCTTTTGGCCCAGTTGGGTCTACCGCATGTACGATTCTTATTTACTTGCTCGGAGGGTGGCAGGTATAGTGGGTTTTTTTTTTCCTGTTAGTGTAATTTCAACTCTCCTTTTGCTTCAGAGGACAGTTTTCAAATTGCAAGTCTGAGCATTTTTTTTTTTTTTTTTTCTATTGTGTATTTCTCGCATGGAAGTACAATATATAGGCAACGGCAGTGGTAGATGGAAGTAAATTTTTCTGATATTTTCAAAATTTTTGAAGCACATACTATACCATTTACATTTGCTTGTTGGTTTGGTTGGAAAGATCAAATTGATTTAGATTTTTCATTTTTTAATCTTTATTTGACTATTGCAGATAGATGGAAAGAGGTTGTAAAAGCACCAAGCATGGATAGCCTTGTGATGAAACCAGATTTTCTTTCATTTTACGTGGCTAGTAAAATTCCAATATCTGAATCAGCAAGGCAAGAACTGTTGGACATTGATGGGACAACTTATAGGCTGCGCAGAGAAATTGAGTTCCTTGAAAGCTTTGATAAATTACGGTGTAAAACTTGTCAGGTAAGGTAGCATGAACATTGTGAAACTCCTACATGACTTGTAGAACTTACTCGTCAACATGTAATTTCTCCTCTATGTCTCTGTGTGTGAGTTTTGTGTTTATGACACAAGTACATTATATTTTGTGTTAAGCATGCAGTGGTACTAGATAGTGATGCATGTAAGGTTCATTTTTAAAATTTTCCTGAATTAAACCATCTCCCAAATTAACTTAAGATCATACAAAACATATAAGGTCCTGGTAGAGCTTGTAATAGTTGTGTTGTAATGCTTTCTTTTAAAAAATATTTTGATAACATCTTGT